TAGTATGGGTTACCCCAGGGTTAGATACAGTGAATAGAAGTTACAGTTATTTTTTATGTTTTACCTTCCCTACAATCTACGTGGATGTGAACTTTAATTTACCAATCTAAGAAATTATCCACATATACATATAAAAATCAGTCTTTTTTTGTATATATATGTGGATTATTTTTGAGATTGGTAGATTGAAGTAGACATCCATGTAGGGCCACTGTGCAGAGAGTGGATGAATATTGCAAGATCTTTGGCGACGCTTCAGTAGCAAAATTTATGCCTTCGGAAGATCTTGCCGACACATTTAGATTGAAATTCTTTCATTTAATATATCTCAGTCTTCGGCCAACTATTTAATAAAAGTAAGGTTTCCGGTATGTTGGATTGATCAGTATGCAGTGAAGCTTGTCTGGAAATCAGTTGCGATGAGTTCCCACCAAAAAAATGTAAACATAAAGTTTATGATTACGTAGTTGCGGTCACATTAGACTAGAGTGGTCAGTCTGCATTTACACATGTTCAGTTGACACTTGCTGTACAATTGGACTGTTTTTAGAGTAAAATTAGTTATTTGGGATAACACGTGCATGTAACCTTGTAAACTTAGTGGCAAAGCTGAGAGTTTTTTAGACTCTCCCTCAAGTTCATTTTTGAGTCCTATAAATAGACAAGCAAAGTATCATGGATAACAGCATTATCATACATAAGAAATTGGTTTAAATCTTGAGTAGGTAAATGAGGAGATTAAAAATGAACAGATTCTAAAAAATCTCTGGTTTGTCACTATGCTTGTAAATAAGTTTGTGGCTTATAAATAGTTTTTCATTACTCAGCGAGTCAGCGTAAATGGCTTTTCATTAAAAATTACCCGGCGACGCATCTTAAAATTACCCGGCGATGCTTAGGGCTTAAAAACCCATATATTGGCGATGCTGCATCCACCCTCTGCACCATGGATGACTGAGGTTGACAACATAACACCAAAATCTTTTGTACAGTTTTATTCTGTAATTTATATTATGTATGTATCATGCTGGTTTTTAAATAATATTTAATACTATTAAGGGGACCGGCTACCCTAAAAATCAGAAATTTTGGCTTTATCGTTTTCTTGACCCAATTTGTAGCTGCTGAAAAGGCGCCTAACGCAGTTTACTGCATGTCTGTTCCGCATGTTCATGCAATGCAGTTGTGAAGTTATGTAAAATTAATATTTTATATATATAAATATATAAAAAGTCCCATTTATAGCCTATTATTCACGTTAAATTGAACATAAATAGGTCTAAATACGTGTGCTGGTACCTTAAATGTAAATAATTGGCAATAGGAAAGCTTGGGCTACAATATCAAGACTTTTTGGGCATATTCTTCTGTTTTCGATGAATTTTACTTTATTTGGCTCCCCTGAACAATTTAAAAAATCAAAAAATGCCATCTTAAAAAAATTATAACTCCAACAGTTTTCAAGCTACGGCAATGAGAGACATACCATTCGATTTGTAAAAACAATACCTAGCGACTCTAGAAGATTTTTTTAATATGAGCATGGTTTGACTCATATATGGGAGGGGGAGGAAGGTCGGAGGGTGGGGTAAAAATGTGAAAAAATGGGAAGAAAGCAAAAAAAATCATGAGGAAAATAAAAAATCAGGGCTCTACAGTCACTAGATATTGTTGTTACAAATCGAATGATATGTGTCTCGACATTGAAGCATGTGATTTGCAAAAGTTATAAACTTTTTTACAGTACCCCTTATTTGCCGTTTTCTATTAATTACATGTTTTCTTTTATTTTTTAAAATTTACATGAACAAAAAGGTCTTAGATTTCTGTTTTACATATGCGTACCAAGTTTCAAAATGATCTGTCGGTAAACAAAAAAGTTTTGTTGGAGGGTAGCCGGTCTCCTAAGTAAAATCTAAAGGCTTTATCTATAAATGTAGCGGTAGCGCTGTAGCGACAAAACCTTGCATCGCTACTTAAATATGTAGCAGGCGCTACTGCTACCGCTACATTGCCTTGAATGTAGAGCCGCTACCGCTACTGAAAATGTAGCGGCCGCTACATGTAGCACGCTACTGCCCACCTCTGCTTGGCAGTGGTCATAAATTTATCGTGGATAAGTCTCTCTAGTTGGCAGTTGTTGAAAAAGATAAAAGACGTATTATTTTAGGTCGAAAGTTGTTGTAAAGTAAAAAAATTGGTCGATAACTTTGGCAAAAGTCATCAAGCTTCTGACAACTATTGCAACTGTTAGCACTGTATGGGACCTGGCCAGTAGCCTATTTCCCTATGAAAACAAAATGTTTGTATTGGGTCTAAACCCCGGTTGATTTTAATAAATATTTCCTTTTCCCTGCAGCGTGTCACCTTAAGTGAGGTGGTGACTTTAGTGACATTGATGTAGTTTTTTTTCCTCTCTATCTTGACTAAAATTTTTGAACTAAAAAAGTGGCTGAGATTGATTGATAATAATATATTAAACATCATTCTAGAATTGAATACTGTACATAAACATTAAAAATAACTTTTTGAAGCAGCATTAACAGCTGTCCTGGTATATACTGTCAACCGGGGCTACTCGGGACGGGCGGGGTAACTCGGGACAGTCCTCCGACACAGCATAAAACTGTTTTAGTAGCAAAACTAATTGGAATATTGCAAAACTAAATATAGTGGCGTAAATGTCAATATTTTTCCTATCTACCTATGTGGTATAAAGGAAGTTCTAAAATACTACATTTACTAGCTTTGAAAAATTCCTGAGAAAATGGTGAAAAACAATATTTTAAAAAGTTAGGGTAAACGTGGTATATTCTGACATCGTGGGTAATTCTGACACCTCTCTAGTTTTTCCTTTATATTAAGCTTTGTTTTAGTTCCATGCGTTTGTTGATGGTTGAAATAGTGACGTCATACATTTGCGTGTCAAACTACTGCCAAAACACTAGGTCTGGGCCATGGCCATCTAGCAGGAAAATGTTGAGATCCAAAGAGAGACTGTGCATGCCACCCAATGAGATCATCGAAAAATGTGTCAAATTTGACAGTTGACCTTGCTCTACCAAATAGTGATAAACTGTTTGTGTAGAAAGAATATTATGGTTTGAGACTTTTAAATACATCTGTGAATATATTAGGAATCCTTTAAGTATACTTGTATTTGCTGATTTCAAGTGGTAAATAAATTAATAGATGGTTAAGTTGAAAAATGGATTTAGACACGTAAAAACTAATTCCGACACAATTTGAGTTGGACACACACAGCTCGTTCCAAGCTGTGTGCAAAAATAGAATTTTTTTTAATTAAAAGCTTAATAACTGTTAATTAAAAGCCTAATCAAGTAGTGCTCAATATTCAATAGTGTTTTAATTCAAAGCCGTGTCATATTCCAATACAGCTCACACAGCAATCGGAATTCGAACACGTGGATGTTGGAATTACGTATTAGTACAATTTGAAGTGCGGTCGGAATACATTGTTACCGTGTGTCTCTAGCGGGTGAGACAAACTCGTTGTCTGCTTATGAATTTAGAGGTAACTATCTAAGTGAAAGGATAATGAAACAATTATTAAAATGGTGTGAAATTACAAGCCATCCTGTAAGCTTACAGATACAGAAAAAATGCTGTAAGGCTGCTGATATGAAGCTTGCAGTGGACAAGGTAGTTGAAATGCTCAATGGCCTGTTCATGGATACGTTAATATTGCATCAATAATATGGTAATTAATGTATATGGTAATATATCAATGAATGAAAAATAAGTAAAAATCACAGAAAATGTCATTTATTCTACCATGACATCATCTACAAGACTACAATGAAAGAGGAGGACTTCAGAGTACTGTTAGTAATGGATGAGTACACTCTGCATGCTTCAAATGTTTAAAATTAAGTTTTATTCTAAGTGTCCCAAGTAGCCCTGTTTGTTGGGGCTACTTGGGACACTCTTTTTTTGCTTCTGGCACCTTACAAATAGCATATGGAATTTTTTTGGAGAAACCATGTGATAGCCCTTGCAAAGAGCTTTGAAATGAGCCTAAACTTGTTTATGACATGTTTCATGGTAAGAAGTTATGAATGAAAAATGTTTGAAATCGTCCCAAGTAGCCCCGGTTGACGGTATTTGTTTCAGTTTTCAGAGCTCCAGCATGCAAAATCTTTCCTGTGTAAATTATCTTCTGTGAGTTCTGTCTAATTCTTATTGTTAATGAATTTAAATTTGCAGAATTTATTTGCAATGTGCCCATTGCCCAAAACTACCTGACTCATGTCTTTAAGAGCTATGAGTATGATTTATTTTATATATCTATTTTTTTATCTTGGCTGTACATCTTTTCACATAGAAGAATGGTTGTTGTAAGTCCAATCTCAGTGTCCAATTTAGGAGTGAAAAAATTTTATTACGTAAGTATGATGTTAAATGTTTGAAGTGCATCCAAACTAAGAAATTAGGCAGAAGCTTCAAGTTTCAGTGAGCCATGAATATGGCCTTCCTGCCATTTAATTTATGGAGCTGCAAGATTTCTGCCTGACAAATTATCTCCTATCTAATTGTTGACATAAGTGGTTGACGAAGCCACAAGATTTCAAATTCATTATTATGAGGGCACATTGGAGCTGCTATATTTCCGTAAGAAGTAGGACTTTTCTGATCCTGTTCAAGGGAATGTTCAAAATTAATTGTGTTTCTTGATAACGAAAATCATTGCCTGAATTATAGTATGAATTTTATCCTTCAAATTTATAAAAATGGCTAATATTTAGCTGCAATTTTAGAAAAATGATCATAAAATTCTAGATATGAAATGATTTTTTGCTCATTGTAATAAATAAAATGAGGTTAAGGATAATACCTATGTAGTTTTTATTAGAATTTTAGGGTTATTAAATTTTTCTCTAGTTCACAGGTCACATTTATGAATAAAAAAATAAAATTTAGTATAATACCTATTGAATAATTTATTTTTATTATAGTTTTGGGATTATCATTTCTAGGGGTATTTAGGGAAATGTTAGGGGTTATTATACGTAATTAGATTTTTAGGGTTATTATTTTTCTTTTTTTTACACCTCACATTCATAATAATTTTCTTGTGTTTAATTCATGTGCTTGTTTATACTTTACACCCAATTTCAGAATATTTAAATGCTGTTTCGGAAGACTTTTCCCTTGTATTTCCATGCAAATCTCATCTTAAGAATGGCATGTACAGCTCCTCAAAAGAAGGATATTCAGAAAGCTATAGTTCATCAAGAAGGCTCACGTATTGCTATTTCATTTTCTTATGATTTTGGTACCAAAGTTAGGAATTTTAACTTTAATAGAGATCAAGATGAGATTCTCTCTAGTGTACTGTTGAGAATAAAGACAAATGTCTTGAAATACATGGTGAGAAGAAAGAAGAGGAAAGTTAGTGATGAAAATCAATCTTCATCACCTGTTGATTGCTCTGTCAAACTCTGTAAGTTGTCAGATACCATCAACCCAGTAGTTGGGATCCCTTTTGGCTTCGATCACATGAAACTGCCAGAAGTTCATGAAGCCACCACGTGTGTTGATGCGTTTGTCAAAGGAAGTAGAAATCGACTGCTATTTATTGAGCATCAGCCATACATCCTTGATGTAAACCCTCCAACAGTAGATTCTTTGATGCTGCCTAACTGTATAATGACTGGCTTTTTATTGTACCCCAACAATCTTCAAATAAGAAATGCCAATCGAGAAGACAGTCTTGTACAATGGTTTTTATCAGAGCAAACCTTTGAGAGCTATGAGGCTGCAAAATTGGTAGCAGCCACGGCAAAATGGCAAGAGCTTCCTACAGGATTCTTTCTAAATGTGGATGATAGTATGATTGACAAGGTTATCAAGGTGAGCTGACATTTGAGAATTAAGAAATATAATCAAGTTGATTTTTCCAGCAATTTTTTCTCACAATTTTGTTGATATTGTTTAAAAGTATTTTGAGATTTTGTCATGATCACTGTTCATAATTAATTATTATTTATAATTTCTTACAAACAATTGCCTATGAATAGAGCAAAAAAATTCATATATGTGCAGGTGGTTGTGGTGCCTTGCAGAGATGGCCGCCTTGGAGTTGGTACTGAGGCAATGTCTCGCTGCCTTGTTAAGCCAGGACCTAGGTCGTGCCCCTACAAGGATCGCCATCAGCACACCAAGGAGCTCAGCCCAAAGGATAGGTGAGACTGCACAGGCTCTTGAACTGTTATAGTATGCATTTGGTCCCTTAGTGAATTCTGTTATTTCCCACTGAGCACAAGCCTGCACCAAATATGAATTACCATTGTTTTGTGGTGGTATATGGTAGTCCTTGTGGGTATAAAGTTTTTAGCCTCATTAGATCATCTATGGGCACTTTTCTCTAAACTCAAAACTATCTATATCTGGAATAAATGAAAATTTGGATAGGAGGAATATGGCATTTTTGCACAATATACATCAGCAGTTACAATTGAGAAGTTAGTTTCAATGTGCTAGTCGCATTCCCTTAAAGTTGAAATAAATTTATAAGTAGTGAAAACCCAGATGCAATAAATAGATTATTAAAATTTGAACTTGACAAAAGCAAACAAAATTGGTCATTTGTGAGTTCAATGAATGAAAGTTACCTTGAGAAACTAATTTGAAGTACCGTATAGCATGTTGAAAATTTGATTGTATTTATAAAAACCAGATTCAAGAATGGGTAAATATTGTGGTTCAGAACAAGATGTTAGTTGAAATGACTTTTGAATAATGAATAATTATTACGGACTTTCATTATGCTACCAAACTTTAAAAACCAAATGAATAAAAAGCTATTTAAAGTGTGATAAATGTAGATAAATTTCATACACATGAACAAACTATGCTCTGAGAAACACTTTGTAAATTGATATATGCATGTCAAAAATAAACAATTATGCATTAATATAAATTTTTGTAATTTTTCTACTATTTTTAACACATACTGGTATTTTAATCCTAAATAGATATAGGTAGTGTATTCACTCAGTATCAGCTCATTTACAAATACAATTTTTATTTGTAGCTGATAAAGTTAAGCTAGTAGAGTTACTAGTATTTTGATTTATTTCACAGTGTTTTTCTTTTGTTAACTGAGAAATATTCCTGTGCAATTCAATATTCCTGTGCAATTCAATATTCTTTTGCAATTTGTTGTTATAGTGAACAGTTTGTTACCCTTGAAATTTTTATGCTTCTTATTTATGACTGTAAGTGCTACATGTGAATAATTTCTGCAATACAACATTGGTACTTCATTTATAATCAGTGTATATACATGTATATATGACTAGTTCATGATAAGCCATTCATCTATTTTAAAATTGTTAAAATTTTCATTTTTGTTTCTCTACAGTGTTCGTGTTGTGAGCTACAATCTACTGGCTGATACATATGCCAGTACGGAGTTCAGTGCGGAAAATCTCTTTCAGAACTGTCCTGCCTATGCTCTGGAGATTGATTATCGCAAGCAGCTCTTCATAGACGAGATTCTTGGTAAGGTTTTTTGTTGTCATCTCATCAGATGATGGTAAAGTATTATTGTTGAAATATTAAGGATATCTGCTCTCAGTGTTTTTATCTTACAAAATTTAATTCTGGGTCTAAAATAAGTAATGAGTTATAATGTTAGTTTGCTTCTGTTGATTTCATTTCATAATAATTGAGAATGATTAAACTAGAAGTAAATTAGCAACAAACTATTCCAGAGCCAACCAAAAATCACAAATTTTCAGTAAATTACGCAGACCTGATGTGCCTGTAGGAGGTTTACTTTGACGGCTACAAGTGCAGTTTATCATGTTGTCACCTGCTTGTCTTGTGCAGGTTACAATGCAGTCGTGGTGTGCTTGCAAGAAGTGTACTTTGAAGGCTGCAAATGCAGCTTATGGTGTTGTCATCTTGTTGTCTTGTGCAGGTTACAATGCAGTCGTGGTGTGCTTGCAAGAAGTGTACTTTGAAGGCTGCAAGTGCAGCTTATGGTGTTGTCATCTTGTTGTCTTGTGCAGGTTACAATGCAGACGTGGTGTGCTTGCAAGAAGTGTACTTTGAAGGCTGCAAATGCAGCTTATGGTGTTGTCATCTTCTTGTCTTGTGCAGGTTACAATGCAGATGTGGTGTGCTTGCAAGAGGTTGACCTGGACGTCTTTAAGTATGACTTATCATGTGTGCTGCTGCTCAAGTCTGGCCTTTCTGGAGAATATTCTGCCAAACCAAGCACCAAAGAGGGATGTGCCACATTCTATAATAGCGCAAAATTCAGGTGAATAACTCGATAAAATATACACGGTATTTACTTGACAATTTCGTGCAATAATAAGGGATTTATTCAAATACTCTCCTTAGTTATGGGTAGAAAAGCTGAAAGAGTAATTTTTGCCGTACACTATTCTTGTTATGTTGAAATTGACAGTTCATGTTATTTACTATAGAATTATATGCACATTCTTAGTTAGGTATTATGGAATGTGTGAGCTATTGCTTAGCATTATTTACAAATTTCATAGCCTCTTGAGTTTTTAAGTTGGTGTTTCTTCATAATCAAGTAATCCCATTCAATTCACTTTTTTGTTAACAAGGCTACTGGAAAACTTATGCTTTGGGCTCAGTGATGAACTGCAGAACAATGTTGTACTTGCTGACATTTTTGCTAAAATCAAGAAAAATGAAAAGCTTGCTGAACGTGTCACCTCTCGCAACACAGTGCTGCAGGTTAGTGATGAGATCTATTCGTTGCATAATTTGTTGATAAAGTATAACCGGTCAGTCTATTAACTGTATTATTGTTTTATTATGACTTCATTTATTTCATTTGTTATTGTAATGGTTCCCAATCCGTTTTGTGATCGAGTGCCATTTTGAGGCCCTATACAGTCATCGCATACCACGAGGTATAGGACATCACATACCAGTACCACATATTAGCAAGTAATATTTTTATTTTACTTGAAGGCAATATCAATGATTGTGTTCTGTTCGAATTTGTTAGTGAGCCATAGAGACCAGTTAGGTAGCGTGTGGTAACTGTTGTTGATCATTACGTACCAGACTATTTTGTGTCTTGAAGAAAATATTTTGTGAAGTAGGTTTGAAATACCTAACTAAATTAATATCGTTTATGTCTCCAAAGTGAATTACCTCACTGTCCTATACTAGCTATCCAATCTCCACATTTGAACATCTTTTCAATAAAATGCATCGCCGTTAATTTAATAGATCCCTAAATGCAATCCAGCCAGATGTGAGTAAAAACTGCGATATTATACTTATATTGTATGAAGAAAATATTCTTTTCTCAAATATATTGAGTATCAATTATAGCAGTTATGAAAATAAAAATCTAATATTACTTGAAGCATGTCTGACATCCTATATGTAACGCAAAATATTCATAAAGACAGCATAACATCGTAGTTGTATTGCAGGCTTGCGTACTGGAGTGTCTGTCATCAAGCGAGGACCAGCGGCAGTTGCTGCTAGTGTGCAACTCTCACTTCTATTTCCACCCTGACGCCGACCACATCAGGCTCCTTCAGGCCGGTATAGCCTTCACAATCATCGATCAGCTCGTCGCGAGACTGGAAGCTGAAGTATGTCGCCTATGTTCTTGTTTTTCATATTTTCTAGGAATTTGAGTCAATAAAACGTACAGCAAATCCACCATATCTTCAATGAAAGCATTTTAGAGGCCAGCTCCATTAATCAGTTTAAAAAAGTGCAATACAAGTACAATCTCCGAAAATTTTCCATGGAACATACGGTGAATTTGCTTGGTGTTTTCTTAGCTTTTAAATTCCTGGGGAACTTGCGATGTAAGCAAATTTGTGAAATAAGTACTTATATTCTTTTGAATTGTTATTACCGTATGTTATAATTACAAAGTTAAATTCAGAATGCTCGTGAAGTCAAGATCACTGAGATTGGAGCACCGAGTAAAGTTATGCCTGCCTTAGTAGCAATTTTTGTTTTGTCAGGACGGTTGCGTTGTACGTGTGCTGTTCTGCGGTGACCTGAACAGCACGCCTGACACGGGCGTGTACCAGCTCGCTACGATGCGACATGTGAGCGCTACGCACGTGGGATGGAGGAGTGGTCAGTACTGAGTGTAGGTCGGCAGTAGAATCTAGGCTTAGTGTGGTGTAAACTTGTTAACATTAATTCAATTTGCTGTTGAATAGAATTTTAAGAAGGATTCATCGCAAAGATGTTTCACTTGCACATAGGGGATACTTGTAATTTCCGACTTAATATTCATGCTCATTGACGAATGAATAATTTGTAATATATATTTTATAATAGACAAAAGATTACATAGATGAAGTGTTTTATTCTTGCAGCTGAAGGTGAAGAGGTGGTGGGCGTGGAGTTGCGCCAGACCCTCCCTATGGCGTCTGCCTGTGGCACGCCCAAGTACACCAACTATGCCATGTCATTCCAGGGCTGTCTAGACTGGATCTTCTACCGCACTGACTCTCTTAGAGTCGAAAATGTTAGTCTTTTCTACTTCTCTGACCGAATTATTCCCTTATAAAGCATGATGAATGCAATATCCTTCTGTAGCTTGGTTAAAAAATTGAGGCAAATGTGCAGTTTACTTGCTTCCAGATCACGCAACAGGTTGAAAGTTCATTTTGCAAATTTTTCCTGAATATGCGCATAAGTGATGATGCATACTACCGTATTTCATTAAATGTGCGCGATTGGAAAGAAGAAATTTAACCCATATTTGCTGTCACCGTTATGTATTTAGAACAGTTTGTGTAGTTTTACTTGTTATTCATTGAGTCCTGGGCAAGCCGGGAAGCCTGTATTAGGGTACGCACACAGTGATAGCAGGTTGCCAGCGTGCTGGTTACCTGCTCTGGCTGGCGCCTGAAACCATAGAATACAGAAGCCTATTCGTACAGGTTTTCACTGTGAACACTTACATTATTATCCTAGGTTCATTCTTGTGGCAGGTTGGAGTAGGTTGCCCGCGCGGGCAAACCTGCTTCCACTGTGTGCGTACCCTTACGTAAGAATGTCACCACCCACGCTGGCTCGTACCTAAGCAGAACTGAGGTTTAACCGCCACGGAGCCTGGCTGCTGCCTGCTCCTGGCACTCTAGCAAAATATGTTTGACGGTGTGTGGGGTGCAGGACACTGTGGGCCCAGGTCCGAGTGAACGTTGTCCTAACGGTGTTAGTGGGAGTATAATGATGGATGATGGCCACAGCGAAATACTGCCGGCTCAACAGCTTTTCAGTATGGCTGATGCCTGTGGTATGTCGTCTATTATATCGTTTATTGGTGCGTTTGAACTTTGAAAGCCTGTTCTTGGTTAGTACTTAGTTGTGTTTGATGAAGTTGGCTGGCTGCATGGGCTGAGGCATGGTGTTTTAAAAGGTTTTGAAAGTGATTGCAGGGGCTGAGGGGGTTGAAGAATGCTGATGCAAGAAATTATGTGTCTCTCATATCAAGGTGATCTTTTAGGAGGACTTTTATTTCGGCGTGGACATGACTGGATGGTGTAGTCTGGGTGCTACCCATTGCAATTCTGAGTAAAGTGTTTTGCATGGTTAATGGGAGCCCAGGCTGGACATAATCCATATGCTATACATATGCTTAGTATATATACTAAGCATATGTATAGTATATATACCAGTGTGAATTTCTTTGTTTTGTCCGAATGTTGTTTCTGTGAGGGCTTTTAAAGTGTTTAGTTTAGGTCTGAATTTTGTTCTGATATTTTGTATGTGTGGCCCAAAGACTTTGAAGTGTTGTAGGTGACGCCTAAAATCTTAGTTTCCTATGTGTGTGCGTGTAGGATGGTGATGTTATTTTGGATGGTGATGTCTGCGTTGATGCTCTTTTGTGTGGTTTGTTATTAGTGTGCTTGTTGATTTAGTGGGGGATACTTTGAGTCTGTTGCGTGTTAGCCAGCACTCTAGCTGTGTGATGTGAGATTGTACTTGTGTGGAGCATGTGTTTGCATTGGTGTGTGTCAATGTAATTGTGAAATCGTCAGCATAGGATGAAATGTGTATGTTGTTTGGTGGGGCTGGCATGTCATGCATGTAAAGATAGAAAAGGGTTGAGAGAGGGCTGGCCCATGAGTACTGCATTCGGTATGTTCTTTGTGTGTAATGACTTGCCATTGTAGTGTACGAAAGACTTAACACGTTGACTACGTATTGGTACATATGCGTACCACGAAATGTATTTCTCCAGGAGGTAGTGGTACATAATTCAGGTTACCTAAAATCGGCCAAATCCGAGAACAAAAAAGGCCAAGAAGGCCGATAATTCAATGTATACTAGTTTATTTGTAGGTTCCGCTATAAAAATTCCATTTATTTTTCTTTTTGCAGTATTTAAAATTTAATTAGGAAGTACCCCTATCATAAATTTTAGCCGGTCAACGCAATTGAGAAAAAATAAATCATCGAATTTGTTCGGAAAAAATGATCGTCTGGCAACCCTGCTTAAAAAAAGTACAAAAAATGAAATAATAGTACAAGATGATGCAATCGTAGTCAACGTGTTAAGACTGTTGAGTAGTAACCCAGCCAGCGTCTGGTGTTTTTCTGTTATGTTGTGGATTTTGTCTGTAAGTAAGAGGTGCGTTGGTGTAGTAACAATTATTTCTTTACTCCAGGTGGTGCCGATGCCTTCTGACGAGCAAGTGAAGGCCCACACCGCCCTGCCAAGCCCTCTCTTCCCTAGCGACCATCTGGCATTGGTAGCACAGCTAACCATTCTAGAGATTCAGTCGAGCGCTTGAATCATTTTGATGTAAGCAAGCGCTTCATAATTTACCAATTAAATTCTGCAGCCAACTTCATTAGAAATGAAGTTCACAATTCAAAGTTTTCGAAGTTGATATGTTGATCCAGGAATAATATTAACAGCTTCTTCTATATACACTGCAGGAATCTATCTAAACTGTTAAGACAGTTCTACCTAACCTAAATCTTTGATTGAGATAGTAGTTCATGAAATTTGATAGTTAAGAGTTTCACGGTGTTGTTTGTCATTTCTAATTTTCAGCAGTTGAGAATGTAATTTTCAAAGCACCTAACTTAATAACAGTGTGGTTCGTGACTTTGGATTCAATTTAATAATTTCATTGATAGATCAGCTTGAATAATGAGCAACGTATGATGTAAATATTTATACTAATTATCAGAGATAAGCTCTTTCCACACCCATGTTGAAGTAGAAGGGTTTGCACCTATTTCAATGAAGCATTTGAAAATTTACTATCATGCAGCATGTAAAAGTACAATTTTCTTCAATATTTTGTTTCCTCTTCTTTCAAGGTACTCCATGCTGGACATTTTTCCTGCTGAAACTATCTTACGACGCACTTTTCAATCCTCTCAACTAACGGGTTACAACAATTAATTGATATACTGTAACTGATTTTATTGAAGGGTACGTGTTAGGAAAGGTTTGTTACAACGGAAGAGCGACTGTTAATAAAATAATCAATAGTAAATACAGGCAAAAGCACTCCACGACATTCAAGCGGTGAAATTTGAGTCGAAATTGCTAAGACAATGATCATTTCTCCTTCGAATAAAAGTACGTCAAATAGGCGTTCCGTCAACATTGCAGTACAAGATGCCAAAATAATTGATTAAATATTGCAGTAACAGTCACTTTAATCAACAAGTGATTATTGCCGTTTATTAAATTTTTACTATTTTACCCGAAAGGGCGCCAGTTCCTCGTTTAAAGCTAATGGTTAGATGCTGAACAATTATATATAAACAACCACAATGATTTTGCAGACGTCTGCACGAAAACTGAACAAACTTAATATATGATAGTTTGATGGAAGGGTTGAATGCATCTCTTCCTATCACTGCAGAACCTGCTTGCCATTGTAAACGTTACGAGGACTCAACACAGAGAAAAACAATAATATTTAGGGAACAAATTCATAGTTTTTTTTTTTGAGTTAGTAATCCTTATGGAGAAGCGTACTTCAACCACTCGATCCGGATTTGCAACCATAAGATTTAAAGAAGAGAATCGTACATAAATTAGGAACATAATAATGATATCCACATCATTGACTCTTCTCTTTAGCAAACATGAATGAGGGCACCTGTGCTCTCCAGTTTCTGCACCAACGCTCTGCAGATATTCTTCGCTAGCTAGCGAGAGAACAAACATCGGTTTTAAAATTAGAGAAAACGAGTCTGTGAAGTTTTTTACAATTTGAGATGGCATGGCGTGCAGTTATTAAAAAACAAAAGTATTAAAATTAGTAAAAGTGAAGTACCGTGGCAAGCAAGAGTATATTCATGCTACCTATCATTCAATTGAACAATTTGTTGCTTGCAATTGTCAAGCATACAGAATACCTCTTCCATGAAGCACGCAAAATCGAAAGATATTTTTAACATTTCATGAGAGCTCAACTGTGAAGCAGCTTACATCAAAAAATGTAATTCCCTCACCGAAAATGACAAGTTGATCCCAGTCTCCAAAGGTAAGGTACTCAAAGCAACGAATATATGAACACTAACCTATAGCATCAGGATATCTTGATCTAACATTGGAGCTGTCTTCCAATAATATGAAAATTACATGATATTATTAATGTAATTAGTAATTACATATACATAATGGGGAGAAATTTTTTCCAATTAAAGTTCCAAGGATTCTTCAAGATGTATAAAGTTGAAGATGCCAGAGAATCCTGGGCTTAATAACTGACAGCTAAGAATTAGGGAGACGTGTTTTCACACCATGGAGACTGGGAAATAACATTAGCAAGTTAATTTTTCTGCTGCTTGGACGACTTGGCTGCTTCAGCTCTGCGTCGCCGCACGTCCCAGTTGTACACTCGGGCGATGGTCACCTCCGTTGTGGTGCATTGCGTCCTGAGAAGGAATTCGTTTACATTTGAATCTCAAAACTAAACATTGTGCAGCTATTATCTTTCCTCATGATAGTTCTCTGAGTCTCAAATCTTGTAATCTTACGACAAGAATGTAGAAGCTTTTATGCTAGCCAGCAAATGGTTGAGTGATGACAATTTCAGCCTAAGACAACTGTTCTGACAATGAAATCTACTCCGTTGTGTTTGCAAAACTGGCGACCCCTACCAGACAAAACACTTATAACTAATAGATAAATACACGTCATTTATGGACATCTTGTGTCTCGAATAAGGTGGACCTTATAAATATGGGACGAAAAATAATCGTTAGCTGTTCATTACCATCAGCTTACCTGAGAAAATCTAGATCATTCAGAACTTGATTGTGTTTTGTGTTTGCATTCTGGAGGTTTTTGTTGAGAAGCGTTTCAGCTGCCTCCAAATCATATTCTAACATGACATTGGCCTGAGGAAAAACAATCGATGTTAAAATTTACAAAATCCTTCAAGCTGAGAAGAATTCGTCATTCTACTGTCTACAACATAAACAGGCTTAAATTTAATTTAAATTCTTGGATTTTTTTTCAAGAAAATACAAGTTCAAACTTCAAAGTAATGCACAAGATGGAGACAGACATCGCATGTTAACCAAATAGTGAAAAATATCAAAATAGATTAGAAAAACAGCTATTCAATGACATCTCTATACTTACCAAGAAAATATACCAGAAAAATCAGAGTAAACCTTGAGTTAACTATTGAACTTACACCAAGCCATAAGCAGACTTTATTGGACGGTGGAATTTTGGCTTTGACATAAACTTGATCGGAAAGCAGAAATCGAGTCTCAAGATCTTCTATACTGTCTTGTCTTGCTTTCATCTCCTCAATGATCTGCAAACAACTTTTGATATCCGGAACTTGGTGTTTCAGTCTGAAATATGAATGGAATGTATTAAATACAAAGAATCTAAAGACAAAAATTTTTCATCATGCTTCCTGTTAACACAGCAATCATAATTGTTGTTTCAGAGTTTTTGTGGCATTCAATGACAGATGATGGATGGTATGCCTATGAGGGTAATTGGTCAGCATTGATAAAGATACCAATGTACAAGGATGACTGAAACAAATAGTTGATTTATCAACCTTGATTATGACTCAATCTTGAATTCCACATAGATAATAATTACATAAACTTGAAATAAGTCCAATATCCTCATCTAAAATGAAATGCCACACAGTTAGAATAAATAAATAAATCCAACTGATGACATATGAGCTATCTCTCAAATAATTGTTAATAAAACTGTATGATTTGATTGAGACCTATAATATCAAATTTATCCATATGCCATGCAGCTCACAGCCAAGAATAGATTAGTGTAAAAATTTAGATCTTTTTATTCTTTGCACATATATATAATATAAATGCCCCTCAGAAGTCATCACAGTACTTACATTATCAGTCTAAATCTCAGGCATCAATAAAAACAATGTATTAAAAAAACCAATACTTTCTACTTGTTTCTAGCACAATATGAACAGTTCTCTTTAGTTTAGTTATTTAGAGTATTAATCAAACCCTAGACTTGTATTGATGTGTGAAGTGCAATGACATCTGTCACAACTCGTGTGTCAATGATGGTAGTGAAGCACCCCAAGCCCAAGTTCAGCATAATAAAAACCCTCAAAAATATTTAAAAATTTTGCCCATGATCCCTGAAAGAGAAATTTTAGTAATGAGCCTCTTACCTTGACAAATGAAAAATCTATAAATTACAAATGCAAAAAAGCTTATGCTGTCAAGAAAAAATCAAAATTATGCTGTCAAGAAGGAACTTTTTTTTCCACACATGAGGGCTGAGGCTGAGTCAGCATTCAAGCTGAGTGACAGATGACTGCAATGCAAATCTGAACAGTGTGGTCAGTGCCCAATATCAAATTAATATAATCATACTTAGAAAGAAAGTTAGAAATAGCATTTCTACAATAGTACAAAGGTAATTTACTTTGTTCGTGTTGCAGTAAGATGAGATTCCATGAAGCGATACTTGCTAAGTTGTTCATCAAGACGTCTGATGACCTCTTCGGCACCACCAGTCTCCTTGCTCATGAATTCTTCTACATCTTCCTGTAGACAAAACCAAGAAAGAAATGATAGAAAAAAACAAAAACAAGAATAATCTGACAGGTTAGCACTAAACTGACTTGAATTTGCAGCTTAGCAAGTATAAATTGAGTTATTTGACTACCAATCTACCATAACAGGGAAACAGGCCAGGCATAACTTCAGCAGCATCTCATCAGAACAAAATAAAAATGTTAACAGTCTAAAAAATTGCATAGTGGCAGAGCACAAATTATCAAAGCAGAGAATTTTTTAGACTCTTCCAGTCTTCACTCTTCCTCAAAGGCTCAAGTTTAATTTTTGAGTCTTATATAAATAAACCAGTGTAAAGTATCAAGAAGTAGGGATAGGCTAACAGAAACAGAATTATCATGGATATCAAATTTACCTACCTATTAAGAGTAGGTACCTAGATGAGGAAATTAAAATTTCACCAATTCAAAAACTTTCCAGTTTGCCACTATGCCGAAGTAAAAGTGCTATAGCTGGCTAGTCTAGACTAAAGTGTATCTTTCAGTTTATGAGCATTCATCTGGAATCTGGCTGGACAGCCTGGATCATGGATGAGTCACCTAACCCTAGTGGACGACGGGAGTAGATATAGAAGTGTCGGCACTGAAGAAATAGGCCCATGATCTGTTGCCGATATACCTAATGTATGATTCTTACCACGAATTGTGCTTCTGGAATTCCACGTAAATTATCACCCTTTTCTGGGACTTTAACGGAGTCACCACCAGCCATTTTAAGAGTTGATATGATATTGATATCTAAAGATGTGAGAAGAATCTATGGTCGACACTGCAATTTACTACTGACAGTCGCTAGTCGGCACTCGGCATGCGGATAAGAGGCGTCGCTGCGCCGCCCAATAATGGATATCAAAGGACACGGCAAGAAGCCAAATTTTTATAATTTAAAAGCGATTATAGTTGAAACTTCGAAATATGTTTGTTGGTAGCCTGATCATTGAAAATATGTAGGTTGATGTTGTTATTGCGCCTACCTATAATTCGATGTATCACAAAAATCTAAAAACGTTACATTTTCTGTCCGAAAAAAGTATCGCAAGCAATAAGGTATTTTTATTAATCGGGAAATAGAATATTTTGGTCAAATAATCGCTATTTATTTGTCTGAATTCAAATAATGAGACTTTTAATTCACATTATTATAGAAATACAAATCTCTAAGATTGATTATTATGAATCGCGAGCAACGTCTGAATTAACATTCTGATATTAAATTATAAATCAAAAATAAAATTATTGATTCTGAATTGATACCTCACTTGCAAATATAATTTTGATACCCAGCATCTGGATATGTGAACATATTATTAGTAATTCAGTATATTGGAAAAGTTCTGCACAAATTTTATTACATTTAATTTATAAGGGCACAGAAAATCACTTTCATAGTTATCTTTTGGATGGAATTGAATTGAATTACTTCTATTTAAATGAATGAAATAATATTTCTTTCGCAAATGACGTGAAGAAAGTATTGGTCATAGCAATAAGATAAGTAATTCTATTGGAAGGAGACTATTTACTGCGCTGTTAATTCATTCATATCAGATGAATATACAAATGCTCTAATGCGACAGCAAATATCAGAAGTTTATGAAATGATTTCAGTTGATAATTTTCACACTTACATAAATGTATCGCTACTGTTGATTGCTTCGCGCAAATAGTATAATGTAAATACAACGAATATAAACACATAATCCAATTAATGTGAAATTAGGCCATCAATTAATAATTACTCAATTAATCAATTATTGCTGAAAACTGTATATCTACGCAACAAAATATCAGCAGTATGTACTGCAGTAACTGGGTAACTGTCTTTTCAGTTCGAAAGCAAGTCTCTTATTTATCGAGCGCCAGTAGTTCAGCCTAGCCTGGTCTCAACGCAACCTAATGTCAGTTGTGCGCCCGACGTCGCCTTGAGAGTATCGCTGTAAAAAGCTTCTTCTTTGACATACATGAAAAGTGTTTGTTGATAAAGCATGTTATATGATATCTATGCATTAAAACCCAATAGAAATCAACTCATAAGTACATTATTTGGTAAAATGAAACGCATTGCTCTACGTCTTTTTTCGATCAGAGGTGTCCGAAATGGCTTAAATCTAATGTCAATGCGGATCTTTCATTCAGATGTCAGGATGCATAGGCTTGGGATATTGGCCAACTTTGAGCAGAGATTGATTTGAGATTTGATTCAATATAAAATTTTTTGTACCCACAATACCTTACCATATGAGTTTGGGTTATTTATAATCAATTGATAAGATATTAATTGATATTTTTGTAAAATTTGTCATCTATATATTATTATGCTTGGCTATTCGCACCCCGATGAATTTGGAATGATAACGTACCGGTTGCAGTTGATGTATTCAATATTGATTTATTATTTAATTATTTGTTAAGTTTGACAAATGATTTCTATTGCAGTTCAATAACTGATCGGTGCAGTGCTGACAATTCAGCATTAACAAAACGGAAAATGAACTGATATTTCTCAATCACTGTCAGCAGCTAACAATGGAATACAAGTGACGTAAGGTCAACATAGAATATTTTATGAGCCAACGTTTCAAATGAAGACCTCAATGAGTTCTGGGTCACGGTGTTGATACTAAGATAAATTAGGAGGTGACTAGCTCTGAAAATCAACGCCTTGTTATCCCAAACAAAACTTTGCAGATGTTGTTTCCGAATTTGTAATCTTTTTTAATCCTGTGACATTCCTACTTTTGTATCGCGCAAAATATTTAAAATTATGTAATGCACCCAAGTACTGCATACTTTAAATAACTTCAGACTCAATGGCAGCAAGACTGTGTTATTTATAGAACCTTCGCCATGATCGAAAATGTTAACCGAGAATCTTTATGAGCAACTTCAGTACTGGAATTTATCAATTATTTTAATTAGCTATTTTTATGAAATGATCCAGTTAATTGTTGATCCATGGATGGCGAAAGACTTTCATTACATCCTGCATATGAATGTTTATGTAACGCAGTCGCATGCTCCGAAGGTACTGAGCTCAAATGCACACGCGCTTCTTGAATTATACATAAATTAATTAACTATTTAATTATAAACTGATCGAGCTGATTGCAGAGCTGGATGTTGATGGAGCTTGCATCCTGCATTATAATGGATATCTAGCGCGGTCGCTGGCTCTGAAAGCACATTTCTCTGTGGCCCACGCGCTGCTTATATTACTTACCAATTAATTAACTATTTATTTATAAACTGATGGAGCGGGATGTTGATGGAGCTTGCATCCTACACAAGAATGGATATGTAACGCGGTCTCTGGCTCTGAAGGTGCCTAGCTCTCTGTGGCACTCGTGGTGCTCTTCCTAAATCAATAGAAGCCGTTACGAGTTACGGCCAATGCCACCTCATCACTCTTCGTGTATCGTCTAATTTATAATTAACTTGCGTCAAACTCGCTGACCATTATTTTCAGCTAATTATTCACTGTCAGTATTGTTATATATATACCTTGGTTATTTTCCCTTTTGAATGAGCGGACATTATTTGCAATATTTTTAAAACTACATTCCATTTATGTGTATTTTAACTTTTGATACGTGAGAATTGTAGTCGAAAAAATTGTTCTACTGATGTCAGTATGTTCAGCGATAGCGATAATTTCAAGTTCTCCAACACAGAAATCTTCGCCGATTAATTTCTAGCTTCAAACTAAGAAAAATGTCAAGACCCTGAAATTTTGTGCGTTTAGGCCCTTCTTTTTACGTGCCAAAGAAAAGCTTCAAAATGGCTGGATAAAAATATCGTTGGGGAACCATTTCCGTTTGGGTCCCGCTCATGTTAGTCCATCCTGGCGGCAAGCCGGATGACTGGAAATGATACCGAACAGGATCAGTGGCTTCGCATTTGTTCTTATAGGTGTTGAGATGAATTAGTTGTCACGGCTGGAAATAATTAAAATTAAATAATGTGACACCGATGGAGAGATGATGACTCATTTAATCACGACCAGCTATGATTTTGAGGCAGAAACTTTAATTGTTGAATATAGACGAGCTTATAATTATTTTATTTTTATATAAATTTGGTTTATGAAAAATTTGTTATTGTTGAAGAACGACCAAAACAAAACTATCGATGAACCAAACTTAATTAATTTATTTCTAGGAAAGTTAGAGTGGGAACTAAGCGTTAATTTTGTCAGGTATTTTGGCTAATATCTTATTAGAAATATACCAAGTTCTTCTTCAATGATTGAGTATCTTCTAAAAAAATCTTTGATAATTTAAAATTCGATGGATTTCCCTGCTGGAGCTCGAAAATCTTTTTAGGAAAGAATTTTCCCTCACAATGATTATGTGCGGATGATTTGACCTTAATTGCAAGTTGGAAATTTATCCCATTCTATGGTTCGTTTATGAAACTTTTTAACAGCTCTTCAAGTTTCGGTACAATGGTCTGGTCCGAATCCGGCTACCGTAATGACGATGCGGAGGAAGTGTAACGCGACTTCCTTTACGTTCTGAGAGGTCCTAAAGCCAGCCATATACCTGGCCCTCCGACCATTACCTCAAACACGACAAGGAATGTGATACCCATAAACAATACGCATGAGGCCAGCCATCACAAAACTTTTTTACTGCCTCTTCTCACGAATTTGGAAAGAATGTCAACGGCGAGAAATATTTTTCGCATTGTTTTTTATGGCATAGCATGAGACGAATACATTTTTGAGTATTTGCTTTCTGGCTCTCATAAAAATGAGAACATTTGGCGAAATTTCCAGCATACTATCATTTCGGAATCATCCTGGCGGGAAATAAATAGAGATGAGAAGTATGTCTAGCTGCTTGCTATCCTACGACGCTGCAGAAATCATTCCGGTTCGGTTTTGAAATATTTCGATCACAGGTAATAAATTTAATCATAACACCGTTGTGCCTCTTCAACTTTATATTGATTAGTGTATTTTCTTAGAATTTAGATGTTAAAATAAGCAAATTTACTAATGAAAATTGTGAAATGGGCAAGTTTATTACGTTAGTGGTTTGATTCTGGAAATGATCTTAAATATAACCGAAACCATTTCTAAGACCTGAATTTAAATTGCAGACTTGCTAATTCGGACCTTTTCTACAGTCTATCACAACGTGCACATTCCGGACAAAACTCAACTATTTAGTTTGCACTGTTACGGAGAACAATATGCACTGTTATCAATAACGATCTGCACTGTTAAATAGAATAGTCTGCACTGTTACTATGTCACAATTTTGTTAAATCAGGAAGGGCACAAAAAATTATATTCCTCTAGAAAAAGTGACCAGATTCAAGACACTGTGTTAGGGAAGATGATTTCTAGTGAAGAATATCTGTAAAAATTTATTTCTTAAAAATTTATTCATAATTTCATGGGATGCTGAAAACTGAGTGAGCCTTTCGTTTAAAAGTTAAAAAGGCTAAGAAGGAAGAAGATTAGAATTTTCAGACTGAAGATGGGGCCACCGATTGCTGTGGGGGAAGCAGAAAGAGGAGGAGATTGGGGAGTGCGAGTGAGGTGCCCGATTGCCCCAAATTCTAAGGGGATTGTCGCTGAATCTCCAGGGTTGAGGTGCAGAGAAGGAGTGAGTGAAGACACGGATGACGCTGAGTCACCTAAGAAGTTAGAGATACAAATAATGCCAGGATAGACTGAGATTTTTATTATGCAGTATACACGTGCACCATTTTAAACGACCCTGTTAGGCTTAATGCAAAAAAGTTTAACAGATTGAACTTTCATTAAGGAACTTGATCCCATAGACGACTGGTTCCAAGCTTGAG